GTATTTGGAAAAGCTCTAATACTCTACAGTATGGCCGTTCGAAAAGGCCATATATGACAGCATTAGAGTTAGAGCTATTACATAAGATATATTTTTCTTTGTTGACTGACATGTCTCAATTTAGCGAAAACTCAGAACCGGCTGGTGATACTTTTTTAACAACTTTTCCCAAACCCAAGAACATAGGTTTAAATATAAAAAAAATTTGGGCCTCCCATAGTAACTCAACTCAAATCAGGTGACCGGCAATTTGGTATGGGAGGTCCAAATTTTTTTCACCCTATATTCATCGACCCTTTTAGTAACAAATGTCGTAAAAGCCAAATCGCAACTTTTGGGAAATCGCAAAAAACTAAAAATGGAAAACGATAATGTTGTGTATTTTTTACATTTATAAAGCTATATTAGTACTGTTTACATATGTTTTTGGCCGCAAAAATCCCTTTCAAAGTGTATAAGAATAAATATACTAACTTCAACAGTTCAAGAGATAGGGTGGCTTTTACTACATTTTGTTTTAGAAAAATTGGTGGTTACGACATTTTTTTTATGTATGGAGACAATCAAAATTGTTGTAATTACTTTTTGTTAAAAACGATGACCCACTTTTTTGTAGTAAAATACAGAAATCTGGAAAAAAATTTGTAGATTTTTGTAGGTAAAATTATACTTATTTGGTAGTTACGCTAATACTTTACTCAATCTTGCATAGTTTTTTTCAAATTCAGATACATTGTCAAGCCTTTACCCCTTGCAGAGTAATTAGAGCATTAAAGAATTTAAAAATCTGAAGTTTTCAGCTTTTCTGACTTACTTTTCGGCATATTTACTGGTGGTACACTTTCCACAATCAATAGTAAACAATTGTTGGGCTATCGCATAAAATATAATAATCGCGTACCTAAAGGATATGAAACTATAAAGTTCCTTAGTCACTTCACATATAAGATCGATCGAAAGGCGAAAAGATGAGCTGGTTTAAGTCAACATAGACAGTTTATAAAGTTTATAAGTTTCGTACGATGTACGATGTGCCTATGACGTTGGTAGGTTTATTTTTCAAATGAGCTTAAAGAGTTGAAGTTGTGTCATCAAAATAAATAATATACTATAAAAGGTTACATTACATCTAATTAAGTACATGTCTCTTAAGAGTGTGTTCTACTCACAAAACTGAACAACTATTGTCAGAAACTTTTCTTCGAAATATAAATGTAATCCTATATTAAAAATAATTACAATCACATCTGAGAAATTCAATTGTTCTTTGATAACTGACAAGGGGTTAGGGAGTCAGATATAGATTTTTTAAACGGTATTCAATTTTGCAAAGCATCAGAATGAGAACTAGATAATAAAGTATGCTGTATGCAACTTTTTACTGGGAAAACTTCAAGTTGATCGTGTGCATCTCGTCAGCAAGCCTAGTTAGCATACCAGCCTTTGATATACTAGCATTTAGTGAAAAATTTGTGCCATCTACCAGTAAAATGTCAAAATTAGTGCAAAAACATGAAAGACTTGTGTTCGTGCTTTATTTTATACTGGGTGTTACAAAACAACCAATAAAGCTGAAAGGAGGTCAAGGTACTCATGAAACTGAACAATTTTTCCCATGGAACATGGGTCGGAATATGAAAAAAAATTTGGACTTCCCATACAAAATGAACTCACTTTGTATGGGAGATTTATTGGTTGTTTTGTAACACGTTGTATATGCCAAAAAAGCAACATCAGAGCTGTTTTAGCCTTGACATCTACAGAAGGATAGCAGGACCTGTAGTGTCTTGTGACTCTCTGTATTTTTTTACTATGTATGTTTTACAATTAATAAATAATCTCTTGTCTGGATAATTGAGATTAAATAATAGTCCACTAACTTGATAAAACTAAAAGAGATACTTATTGACATATGTGAAGAAAAACTTCCTTATTTTGAAATGTCCCTGAAATATTCACGGCGACAACGATCATATTTTTACAGCCGTTCAAGCTCTGCCTACCCCATAAGAGATAAAGGCGTGATAAATGCAATGTATGTTTGTACAGAAAAAGAAAGAGCTACTACAATATTTCATGTATTACGTTGGGACAGATACATTTAGATAATATTTTCATTAAGTGTGTCATACGAAAATTACCAAACACTATCAAAATTAAAGAAAAAGGATAATAAATTGAACGATAATAATTTGAATCAGATGAAAATCCACTGGGCTGTAATAATTTCGAATTAAAAGAACTCCGAATATTGAAAAAAAGAGAAAACAAAATCAGTCGATGATTGACAATACGAAAAATTATTGAGAAAGACGTGAATAATTGAAGAAAGTGAATAATATGTTGTACCAAATTATTAAAAATATTACCAAATTAATAAAAATATTGAATAAGACTGTCAATCCACCAAAATAAGCTTAAAAGCTAAAATAAAGAAGTAAACACTTCAAAAATAAACTTTTATCATTATCTAACAACCAACTTTAAAAACTAGAATTTAACTATGTTACTTAGTGATATCGTTCTTAATAAATTAATATTTTGATTAAATAAATACTTTTTATACTACAATAATTCACCTATTTTATCCGCAACTTGGTATTTTACTACATGAAAAAAGAATATTATTTCATTCAATATGTATTTTACATCAATAAACGTCAAGCTCTATTGTCCCAAAAACAGTAAATTCTGTCGTAAACACCAGTGAGGTAACAAAAATTATGTAGTAAAAGCCAATTGTTGGAGTAATCTATTTAAGACTTCTTGTTCATTACCACAAATTTACCTGAAATGGCTGCAAGCTTCGCATCATGCTTAATGTTGTAAAAGAAAAAGTATCAAATAATTTGTCTTTTACGACAAATTGAACGTTTTCACTTTCTTGGTCTTTTTGAGAAAATATGTCGTATAAGCCACCTTTTTACATACATGTTATTTACGACACTTTTTTAGTGTCCAAGGCGTCCAAACAAGGTACTTACGACAATTTTTTTTAAAAATTACAGTTTTTCTTGTCTAAAAATCTGTGTGGTAAAAGCCATTTTTTTCAAGATATCAAAATTTTAAATATACAGATCGATAGAGCTCGTCAAACTACATAAGATGGCATTAAAAGCTCATTTTCGCCAAAATGGCTTTTACGACATTTGTTACTCAAAGGGTCGTCATGTAAGATGCTTACTGGTAGTAGTCTAAGTCAGACTAGTCTGACCCCAGGTTTCACCGAACCGTTCATCAACTCTGACAATTACGACAAAAAAGCCTTATCATACCTACTTATGTTGCTGACTGTATCTCTGAAGGGTTATCCGCAACTCGTAAATTCCGGGCAGGTGGCCTCAACTTTTATCAGATGGAGTTATTGAAAACGTAATCCTCTTTTATTACTTTGTCGGTAAAAAGGTTGAATAGGTGAATAGAACACTTTTTCTGATTGTTACCAAGTGCAAAGTTGTAAGTCACCATTACATGCTTTACGAGTTAAAGCTCTATAATTACTATGTAATTATTTACCTACATACAAGGACAAAAAATTGTGAATGTCTCCAAATAAAGTGTACAAGTTTTTACAGGAAACACTCACAGCATTTCGAAATGTATATGAGCTTTATTTGCTTGAGAAAGGCAAACCTTAAGAACCAGCTCATCTTCGGTTTTAGGTATGGGCAAGTATCGGTCACTCTTAAAATAGAACTTGGTTAAATATTACATTATATCATAGTTAATTTTCATTCAGTCTTCAACCTACCTACCTATTTGCTACCCACAATCCGCAACACAAAACTGTCAGAGCTACAATTCGGCGAGTACACTCTGTGGCAAACAAAAACGGGCGCGTTTTTTTGCGGCGACGGGCACGTGAGCCGAATGCAATCATTTCTCTCTTATTGCTCGATTGATTGGGCAGCGCCGTTTCTCTTTTCGACCCAAACAAAACGGACAGGCAGGTGAGCTAAACGCCGCTAAGAGGGATATTTTTATGGATTGTTCGTGATTGTCTTGTTTATTATTGTAAGTTTTTCTTTGGTCAGTGAACTGACACGTCTTTTATAAAGATAAGGCAGTAAGGCATTAAGGCATTCTAAAGAAACTATTGTTATATTTATATATAAGTTTAGCCAACTAAATCGCTGACTTATTACAGTTAATACTAATCACGGATTTATGATACCATAATAATTACACAGAGATAACTCTAAAAAACAGTTCTATAGTTTTTATCATACAATCTAGAAATTGTGTCAAGTCAATGGAATGTATGCTTTTTTAACTTAGAAAAAAGTTCAAATCAATACGCAGACAGGAGACAGATGGCAACAAAGTATTCAAGAAAGCGTAAACAATATTAAATTCAGGTCATTATTATGATTGTCCCGGCGTGTATCGTTAGCATAACCCCGGTCGCCAGTAAGTAAGGTGTTCGTGCTTAGACTAGTTTCGTTTGCAGTTCGTTTCCCGGACAGTTTCTTAGCACAAACGCATTACCTTGGTCTAGACTCTTAATTGCAACGGCTCTGCTGAATTCTGATTACTAGTGTTTGTAATGTATTTTGAATTTAATAGGTAAGTTTGTTTGTAATGCACTATTTTCAGCCCCTTTTTTTCTTAGACGTTTTCTTTTAGTTTATATAAGATTCAACCAATAATAATTTTGATGCCAGCCGTCGCCGGATTTCGGTCTACAAAGTCCTATTATACGGAGCAAAACGTAGCAATGGTACTACGGTTTTTACTACGCCGTAGTACGCGCCCCGCGCGATATCTGCGCTCTGTAGATACGTAATTTGTAAAAAATATATTTAATTAACAGGTATTTCATAGTCAACCAAAAGGCCCTATAGCCACCCTACGATAGTATTCCCAAAGAGGGATGACATCTGGCAAGCAGTCGGGCCGGTTGAACAAAGCCAAATTCTTTTGCAACAATATTTTGCGTAGGCACAAAACATGGTGCGCTGAAAGGCAGAAAGATGATAATTTTTTGAAAATATTTCATCTACCGCAGGCAGAATTAGAACCTGCGACCATCAGCGTCTGTACCTACTGCTAACGCCACTACCAACTGGGCTACCGCGATTCTATACTCCTGCGGTGGAAGCAAGTGTCCCAAAAATTGTATACTTAACACTGGAAGTGTTTTTTTGGTATTCAAAGATGATGATGTATGGCAATATTCCTACGAACACCCGCTTCATCAATATGTTTCTCCCACTCAACGTTTTCCGATGTGGTTGGTCCGTGTATTCATTCTCTAATTGTCGGCGCGCTGGCCGGATCCCCTGAAGCCCTCTATACATTTTTATTGACCACCTTCCGCCGTGCGACGTGACTGGAAGTTTTATTGTAAGGGTGGTGATACAATGGGTGCTCATATAAATAAAAAGTTCTACTTGAAAATTTTTGGAATAAAAAAGGCCATGGCACTGGCAGCTTTCAAAGGTTGGTTTGAAATACATCTTGAAAGACAGTCAGTAGATTTTTTTTTTACCTTCTGTCACTAATTTATTTGCCAATAACCGAGTTCCCAGCTCAAACAAAAATGCCCAAGAAGAGAAATATACGCAGTTTTTGGTCTTGGTGAAAAACATTCGTAACGTCCGTTCGAGTTTTGTGCAGCGCTATCGCATGCGTAAGGTAATTGTGATTTTCTATTTACATACAAATACGGTTTAGGTCAACCGGTTTGACAGGCGCTTCGGACGTTTCGTTTGTTTCTCGCCTTATATGAAAAAGATCTCGTCACAGAAGAACAGAGACACGAAATAATAAAAAATGACTCTCTCATTGTGTCTCCTACATCTGCGTGTGCCATGTGATTTGTTTCCGATTGCTGTTCACTCACCGCTGCCCACCGTCCGCTGAAGTTCTGCCCTCTGCAGGTTGACAGAACGATTCGTTGCTTTGTTACGCACTATTATTTTACTGAGGTCTAATTTTTTCCCTCGGTATTTTTAGTAAAGTAAACGCAACGAGAATAAAAGTGTAAGCAAATGAGATAGAGACAACTAACATTGCACTTAGGTATTTTTACAACATTAATAAGGACAGATCAAATCTCTATCACTCTAACATAACTAGTAACATTGTTTATATTCTACATCTCGTTTCGTTAGCCTTACAATAGACACGTTTCAGATCATCTAGCAAATCATCAAAGTAGGTTTTATGTTTTTAACACAAGTCAAACTACATCCTCAACCTAGAAAATAACTAAAGGTAATAATTCAAATGTAAAAAAAGAAGTACGGATAACAAAATGTAACTTACGGACCCTATCAATAATGCAATCTTACACGAGAAAGTTTGAATCAGAAATAGTGATATCTCAAAGTCTGAGTGAGTAACGGGATAGGTAAGACCTAAGTTTGGCTTTCCGTGAACAGGGAACAAGTTTTAATCGAGAGTGGTAGGTAATCTTTATACGGAAATAAGGAAGACGACGCCCGGAGACCAGATGTATTCTTACAAGAGGCCAGCAGTTGTAAGTAATGGGACTATTACCGCGGAAAGGTTTTTGATTACCTCGATATTATACCTCAGTCTGCCAAAACCAACGTGATCAAAGAGCGTGATACTGCTCCAAAATATTGAGGTAATCACAAACCTTACCACGACAATAATCCCGGTCAAAACAATAACATAAGTGTTGCAAACAACTGCGAAAATCTAAAAACATAGTTACATTAAAAGGACGCACACTCACAAATAAAAAAAATACTTACCTACTAAAAGCCTAAAGATACCACTTCAAATAAAATAAAAATATGCTCAAAGCATAATTTAGAATTTTATATGCGTTCATATTATATGGAATGGGGCGTCGTGTCGTGACGCTCGCCGAACGTGCGATTGGTTGCAATCTTTGTTAATCTGAATATTATTTCTTCTGACTCTCTCTACCTTTAAGTTTGCTTTAAGAAAGCGGTGTAATAACTTCACTGAGCATTTTAATTAAAACCTTATCCTTTGAGGATTGCGCACTCACTTTTAGAGGCAGCTAGTTGAGCACTTTTATCAACCTGGCTCAGAGTCAGAGGTCAGCTATCTATTTGAATATTAAGATTTGAGCTAGTGTTTGAAAGTTTTGTATTAAATTGATAATAATAACTACTTTTAAATACCATCTTTTAATCTACGGAGCAATGCATTTCGTCATTTTCCGGAATTCGTTTATTGCTTCGGAAATACGCGAATTTATAGATATTTTCAAGTTGAAGGAGAATCAAAGAGAGTATAACCCAAACTAAATCATAGGTATGAGGTCCTGCAGATTTTTTGAATATAGATGCCGATGGTCGCAGGTTCAAATCCTGCCTGCGGTGGAAAATTTTGCAAGATTTCCAAAATAGCCTAGTACAGCTCTGCTCCGCTAATAAGATTAGGCGTTGTTTGCAAGTCCACTTGTTCCACGGCTTCTGTATGAATTATTCATCGGGCTTTGATTATTTCAGCCTGGTTGCGCAGGTAACTTTTGTTACTTGTTATGCAGGGGAAAAGTGTCTTCTTATTAAATATTGCTTCTATTATGGGATTCAATAAACTGAGTGTAGCTTTGTGAGATCAAAAAAGAAATTGATCAAGAATTAGTGCAACACGATTCGTTAGAACACAATATCTTTAGTCTCAATATCAAAAGATTTGTCAATGTTTTATGACCGGCCGCCTGCCTGAGTTCAACTCTCTTTGGATACTGTAGATGGTATCACCGCCGCCAAGCGGTTGACCATAGTCGACAGGTATTCAGCCGAGGTTAAAAACGTTACCTTTTACGAAACATCCTGTGTGGACTAGGGGTGGCAGTATTCTTAGCCGCTACCACACGGGTATTTTCGATACCATCTGAAGAAATCCTACTAAATCGTTATCAATAACCCTTAACAGCCGATGTAGCGCAGTGGTTAGTATGCCTGCCTGCCACGCAAAGGTTCCGGGTTCCCGGTGGGGTCACTCACAAAGTTGATATTTATCACTTTGTGAATTTGTTCCCAGTCTGGTTAGGACATTGCAGGCTGAACCACCTGATTGTCCGCAAGTAAGGTTGAAAAACTCTGACACCAGGGTTCATCGGGTCGTTGTACGACTCGGTGTCCCACACGAAAAGAAAGAAGTAAGATGGTTCCGTGCTTCGGATGGGCAGGTTAAGCCGTCGGTCCCGGTTGCTGTCTATGACAGTGGTCGTTACACAACCATGTCAGAGGCATGCTACTTGCAGTAGGCGGTTAAAGAACTCTGACACCAGGGTTCATCGGGTCGTTGTACGACTCGGTGTCCCACACGAAAAGAAAGAAGTAAGATGGTTCCGTGCTTCGGATGGGCAGGTTAAGCCGTCGGTCCCGGTTGCTGTCTATGACAGTGGTCGTTACACAACCATGTCAGAGGCATGCTACTTGCAGTAGGCGGTTAAAGAACTCTGACACCTGGGTTCATCGGGTCGTTGAATGACTCGGTGTCCCACACGAAAAGAGAAGAAGAGAATAACCCTCGCTCCGCTAATTGTACCCCGTACCTCTAAGGTGGGATCAGTGACGTCACGTTATGACTGATGGGCATGGGGCCCGCTATCGACATTGATTGATTCCTACACGTGTCTCAAGATACGGGAGAACAATCCGGGAGGCTTACCTTGAGATCGCTTGATTGCTGCTAAATCAATTACGGCCCGAATTCTATTTTAAATACCTACCTACATCTATAAAGTAGCGACTAGTAACTACTGTGCCACTGTGCCATATCCAAGAACACACTAACTATAGCGCCCATGTAGAGTCTTAGTTAGACAGTTTTACGAAAAATTAGAGAAATGTAAGGATGTAAGGCACTTTATTACGGACTAGCGGCCCGCCCAGCGGTTTCACCCGCTGCTAGAAAAGTAGAAATTGGCCATTACTGAATCTATTATAGTTGAGATGAGAGGCTGGTGGTCTACATCAGGTACTCCAGACCCTCGTGACTATGTGCCAGCAGAAGCGGCCTGTCATGGTGTTTTTTTTTTTTGTAGAAAGCCATGACCGTATCTCTTATGGTTTAGATGGGTTGCTGGTGGTTTTGATCAGGTACTCCAGATCCTCGATGACCATGTGGCAGCAGAAGCGGCCCGTCATGGTGATCGACTTTTTGTATGCAGCCATGACCGTATTTCTTATTGTTTAGATGGGATGCTGGTGGTCTTCATCAGGTACTCTAGATCCTCGATGACCATGTGCCAGCCGAAGCGGCCCGTCATGGTGAACAACTTTTTCTATGAAGCCATGACCGTATCTCCTATAGTTTAGATGGGATGCTGGTGGTCTTCATCAGGTACTCTAGATCCTCGAGGGCTGACAAAAAGTAGTCCATGTCCGTCTTTAGTATGCTAGAAATATCAGTGCCAAGTTTCGCAAAGATCGGTAAAGTGGTTTGGCTAATTTGGGTAATATCCGCTATATTTCCCGCTTTTCCTGCTGCTAACCTTTTTCCCGTGGGAATGAGGAATTTTCCCGTGTTAAAAAGTAGCCTATGTTACTCAGGAATGCTGTAGCTTTCTAATGTTTCTTTAGCGTCGTTGCTAAAGCTGAAACAAAATCATCAAGAGTCGCAGGATAAGCTAAACCAAGTGAATGCTAACATTGATATGATAATGATAACTAATAAAATATGATTACGACATGACCAAAACACTATTCCACACTATTTACTGCTTTTTAATCTTCTTAATATAATAATACGAGTTTGTACATACCTACTACCAAAGTAACCCCTTATTTAAGCGAAACCGGTTGGGTAATAAAAATAAATTGTGGAACGAGTACAAGGTGTTGTTTGTTTACAATTAATCATCTAAACTATTCCACATTTTGTTGGAATCTTTGTCATTTCATTAAAATGTACTTGAATATAATTAAAACAATCACCACAGAAGCGACACATCGAAACGTAAATACCTACTCTTGTAATGTAATTGATTTGATTCGATCCGAGTCCATGTGGGCTACCGGCGGATTCTCAGGCCAATATAAATGTAAATGTACTCGAGGTACACTGCTGGCCATCGCCAGCCAAAGATTAAATAAAGAAAAAAAAAGATGTCCTTGTAAAAAT